TTTTTCTGATACACAGGTAATAAGAGGCCCTAGGTAGAGAAAGCGCTGACTGTAGAACAAAAGCGCAATGGCACGTCTTTTTTTTTTTGCAATTTTTGTTTCACAGGGGCAAATATGGCTAAGAACTCAGGACTTAAGGGAAAATCAGCCATGCAATTACATCAATCATGTAGAAGAGAGGGATAATAAGCTCAGTGTGAGGCTAGAAATGCTGAGACTTCACGAAGATGAAGTCCTGAAAAACCATTGCCACGAAATGGCCATGTCTCATCTATATCTGCTCAACCAAAGCTGTTATTGCACATCGCTCTGGCTGCAAAGTCATATGCCTCCGCTGACTAGCCTCTCCGACTGTTAACCCTCGCCCGTATTGGTGTTTTTCCAGCCATGAACGTATAAGGGGGGGGGGGGGGTCCGTTGGACCCCCCCCCCCTTGCCGTTTGATCGAGCTAGAGCCTCGCGGAAAAAACGAGCGTGTTGCCCGTCACGAGAGGAAGCCGACGATACCTAATTTTAAGGTCCTAGGTCATTGGTTGACCTTGCAGGTCAGGTCAATGACCTAAAAGTCGGGAAAATCGGGACCTGTTAGAACGTCGTAAAGTGTGGCTTCTACGGGGTTTTTCGGGGTGCTGATCACGAATATCACGTTAGTTTTGATCACAGATGATGTCTTCATGCATTTAGTCCAGATCGGGTCAGGTCAGGTCAGGTCAAGCAATAGGGGTCCTGCCGGGTATTCCTAGTAGGTGTCAACCGCCTCTGACAGCTTCGTAACATGTTACGAAGGCATCAAAACTACTTCGTAAATGTTCAAATGGTTGCTAAATTCGAATTCAGCTGCAAAAACTGGCCTAGAAACATGTAAAACTCGAAAAAGTGAACCGAGGTCATCAAAGGTCAATGACCTGACCTGACCTTCAGGTGACCTTGACACCCACCCTAACGCATGGGGGCAACATCATATCACATGTTTGAACGCTTGAAACCACGAAAAGACTGCAAACGCGCGGCTAAAGCGAGCCGACATACGCCGAATCGCGATTCCGGCCAAACATGGTCTCAAAAAGTAGGTCACAGGTCAAAGGTCATTGGGGTCAGGGTCATGAAATTTTCAGAGTAGGTGTAAAATTGATTAACGCGAGGGTACTGAAAGTTTCGTCGCGATCGGCCGCTTTTTACGCGAGTTATTCGCGAAAAACCATGGGGGGGGATCCGTTCGACCCCCCCCCCCCCCTATACGGGCGAGGGTTAAGTCTCTAAAGGCCTGAAAGTCGTTATTAATACCCATTTTCGGTGCTGAGGAATCTGTGGGATCCGAGGACCAGCCCCTTTAGGTCCTGCGTTAGCGAAATGTGTTAGGTAGGGGTTTGTGAATCTGCCAGCGACATGGAGAGGGGGGGGGGTAGAGCTGGTCTCCACTCTGAGCGTAACGGTCTCACAGGTTCTGGCCGATAATGTGTAGGAACTGGGCTGCTTCTCTCCTACGTCCTCACGAATCCGGTGGACGTCTGCTGCTGAAGACCGGTTTAAGTTGTTGGATGGTGACGAAAACTGGGTGGTTGCTTGCTCCCTGTACTACCCTGCGTGTGATGCACAGGTGAACCGGTATATCCCCGGCTGTTCGGTCCAAGGTGAGTCAGGCCGCCTTGCCCCCCGGTATATGACTATGACGTTGAGGGTGGGTGATATCCGTTCTATCACTGCTGACTCAGCTTCGGGACAGCTGCAAATGGTGCACTCGATTCACAGCCAGAAGGAGAAGGCACAAGTTAGTTAACGCTTAGCTCAGCAGCAGAGGAACAATTCAGACCAGTAGTGCCAGTTTCGGAAAATGTATGTGCAGTGTCCGTCCAATGTCCGGTATTTTCGTCGACCGCCCGTCCGAAAATGTCCAAGCTAGCCATTTGTCCAAAGATCTCCGAAAACTACACAATAATCTAACGCAACACGGTTATTTAATTTGCTTTCAATGTATAGCCCACAGTAGAAGTAATGTGTGGTTTCAGTCATGGGTATGTTCTGCTTCTGAAGCTTAGGAACGATTAGCCAGACTACAATGAAACTTTGAATGTAGCTTATATGTATCGTCACCCTTGCAGCAGCAACTTTAGCTAATGACATCTTCTTTTCGATCACTCCGCATTAAACAATCGTCAGTCAAAGCCAACCGTTGAGATTGGTAAAACCCTACATTACTTTAGCGGTGGGCTGTACTATTACTAATCCACGAGTGTATCATGTCGATAGCTGAGTTTTTTATTCGCCAACCAATGCTCTACACCATAACTTTGTAAAAATGCTGAAGTGTAGCAAGTGATTGTTCAATGTTTTCTAAAGCTTGCTCCTTTGTCCAACCAATTGGAAATTGGACAAAATATTGGAAATTGGACAAAATATAATTCCGAAGGTTCAATTTCCGATTGGCACGACTAATTTATGCATCGTGGGAGTTGTATTCATCTTTTCTTGCTTTTTTGTCCAGGTGCTGGATAGAGACAGAGGTTTTCTGTAGCATAAAGAAAACCTCTAACCTCTTAAAGCTTTCAGACAGACATTGAAAGCCGTCTAGTCGGCCAGGTAGATGTGCGGAGCGTCTGCCTGTAACCGCAATGGAGGCCACAAACAGTACCGCACGACGCATACAGATCAATATCGCAAACAGAGTTGCCTGAAATATTTCGTGGAGCAAGCACGACAGTTATAACAATGTGTTTAATTTACCATGAAAAGATACCCACAAGGAAGTCTCCATCGTGTCTCTGGCGGAAAACTTAATTATCCTCGTTACATCAGTCATTCTTTACAATCCCGAGCGCGCTAATATACCTACTTTTCATTGCTGATAATCTGATCGAGATATTGAACCCATGCTATGAGCAAGATTCTTTTGACGTCGTGCCGTGCCATTGACGTCGTTTGACATCGTCCATGATTTCCTCTGGTAATAATTCCATAAGCTCCTTATCCATGCAGGAATAAAATTGTCCTAGGTGCGCCCAACGGGACAAATCGGCCAAGTTATAGGTATTGTAAGCTTTTTCGGCTAAATAGATACTTTGACTTTGACTTTGACTTTTAAGTTCATGTGATAGCTAGGTACGTTTAACAACGCGTGTTGATGAAACACTGGTGGAGAAATCGGAATGGAGTATTTTGATAACAGTTTGTTGTTTAAAAAGGTCGAAACTGAAGAATCGCGAATATTTTCTGCTGCGATTTTGTATCTCATTAAATGCATCTGTTTCGGCTCTTTGATTAATTTCAGGAGCCGGACAAGCTTAAAATGGTCAACTTATAGTTGTCTGAGTCTGTCTGACCTTTGAAATAACAATTAAACAAATAAGCGTTATCGTTATGACTTATGTGATTCTTTCTAACGGGTTTCGAAAATTTGCATTTTACAAATTTGCTATGGGGTCTTAAAGCCGAGTGAGAGGAGGGGTGCGAACCAACCGTTAGCCGCAGCTTATGTCGTCCTAACTCCTGGTCAGCTGTTCTGTATTATTGCTCTGCGCATTGGATGGAATACTGATTGAGTTTTCTCACGACACGATGAAGATCAAAGCTGGAAGGCGGCGCTTCCTCGTTTGCATTACGCAGTTGTATGTGGAGCAGCTACGTAACGCATCCGCTTCAGGAATTAGGAACCCGTCACAGGGAAGTTTTAGTGCTCGGTCTCCAAGTTGGACTTGCGTGAGCCTAGGGAAGAATGTGTCCTTTCAGCATGGTTGGTGCCTATTTTGAAGCTTGATTTTTGGGTACGTTGACCCGAAACTCGAAACAGTCTCTTTGTTATGGAGAGCGTTTGATCGTTAATGCAGTCACAAAGGCACACTCGCCCCCCCCCCCTTCCCCTTCCGTGCAGCTAGCGTTCTGCTCAGACTATCGCCTTTGCAAAGGGAGTTTACACAATCGAGAAACCACATCACGCATTTTGACTATTTTTTACCATCTGCTACACAATGCTAGATCACCACCAGTAACTTCGATGCTGAAGATTCGATGGTTCCCAGGCTCATTGGCCGGTCCAGAATGGCATTGTTGGCGTTGTGGAACGCTGTCCACAATCTGAGTTCTTCATTTTTCAAGAACTGCTCGAACAAAGCTTTTCAACATGTTAGGTATTTTTAAGTTAAGCAAACTTTCTAAACAAAAAAGTCTTCTTTCTTAGTGAGGAAAATGTGAAAATCTAGTCAAATGTGGTCGCTTCGGGAGGGGCAAATATCCCAAACGTCCCTTCGCCCATTTGCACCGCCTGTGCGCGAGTTTTCTTTCGGAGGTTAATTGAATGTTCGAGTCAGCTTAGGGTCGATCAAATGTAGTTTTTGTTCCAAAATCATAACATTTCATTTAACAAGGAGGCATAGCTGAGAAACGTACAGCATAATGCTGCTTACACTAAAACATGCTAGCAGTGCAACATAGCAACTCCAACAAACAGCATAATGCTGCTCAAGCTTCAACATAATATAAGTGCAACATAGCAACAGCAGCAACCTAAAGCGTATTCTCGCCCTTAATGCCCTGAAAGTGATGTTTTTCCAGACACTCCATTTATAGACACTCACGGGATTTAACGGAGAACCCACCGCAAGGCCACTGTTTTGAAAGTATTCCCACGTGTGGAAAGTGGATCCCCATTGCTCATGCAACTACCGAAGAATTGCAAATAGCCCGAATTTGGTAAAGGTACATGGTCATGCTTGAGGTCATCTGTCATTGGAGTAATTCCCTTGAGTTGGACTTCCCGTGGTGGCGACGACCTTTCTCGTGTGTTTTTTTGCAGACGTCCTTTGTGTGCGTGTCTGTCTGACTGTGAGACTGAGCGCTACGTCATGGTGCGGCTCCTCTATGGCCCAGCGGCGCAGCTCAAGCACCTACCTTCTACCTGCGGCCCCTCGCGAACCGGTCCGCCGCCTATCGGTGCGGAAAAAACACGCCCCAGGAAAGTGGGGTATAAAACGGCAGTGGCGGCCCACCGTCGGCCATTGTTCTGTTAGTGGCTCGGCGCCAGCATCATGAGGACCTTGCTGGTGCTGTCCGCCGCGTTTGCGGTGTCAGTGGCAGCGACTTCACTGCACTGCGCCTTTGTTATCAACGGGGACTGCGTTAGTTCGGCGCGCTCGCGGGTGCCCCGGCAGGCGGTGCCACCTCCGACCAACCAGCAGTTTCAGGCGTGGCTGGCCGCTGCCCAGCTGAGCGGCTTCCCTGGTGGTCTGCCGGCGCTGCCAGCCGCTCCGGCTCAGCCGGCCGCTGTCACAACAGCCAAGCCGACCGTGGCCCCTCCGCCGCCGCCGCCGGTCGCTACCCCGGCGCCGCAGCCGGCCGCTGCCCTGCCGCAGCAGCCGCCGGCCTTCTTTTCGCCGCAGTTTTTCGCGCAGCAGCTCGCTGCTCTCGGCCAGAGGAGTGCTCTGCCCCAGCCGGCGGCCCCAGTAGCCCCCGTGCCCGTCCAGCCGACTCCCGCGCCCACTCCGGCTCCGACCCCGGCTCCGGCCGCACCGGCTCCGGCCCAGCTGCCAGCCTTCCCGGGCCTGTTCCCGGGCCTCTCTCAAGGAGGCTTGGCTCCCAATGCCTTCCAGGGTCTGCAGCAGCTGTTTCCGGCGTTGGCGGGTGCCCTGCCTGCCTCGTTAGCTGCCGCGGCCACGACCACCACGCCGCCGCCAACGACCACCCAGTCGCTCCTGGACGCCGAGGCTCGCGCCAACCTCGTGCTAACTCCGGACGAGGCCTTCCAGGCGGCCTACAACGCTGAGATCGCGGCCGAGCCGGCCACGGCGGCCTCCATCCGCTCTGCGGTGGTGCAGGCCGCTCCGAGCACCGTCACCAAGCCGCCGCCCACCGTGCCGCCGACGACCACCACGCCGGCGCCGCCGCCTTCCGGACCCACCGCCTTCCCAGCGTCGGCGTTCGGCGACTGGCTGAAGCAGGGCGCGCAAACGGGCATCTGGGGACCGTGGCCGCCGAGCACGACCCCGGAGCCGCCGGTGGTCACTACCCCGGCGCCCAGCCCGAGCCCCAGCCCGGCTCCGGCGGCGGCTGCCGCCCCTCAGCAGCCCGCGGCAGCCGCACCCGATCAGGCGTACCAGCTGGCGGCGCAGCAGGCCTACCAGCTAGCCGCCGCGCAGGCCTATCAGCAGCAGCAGCTGGCCGCGTACCAGCAGGCTTACCAGCAGCGGTTGGCCGCGCAGCGCCCAGCTACCACCGCCGCGCCAACGACTGCCGCACCAACGACCGCTGCGCCAACCACCGCCGCACCGACAACAGCCGCACCCGCCGCGCAGCCGGCCAACGCGCAGGCTCTCCAGCTGGCCTATCAGCAGGCGTACCAGCAGCAGCTGGCAGCCCACCAGCGCGCTCAGCTGGCCTCGGCTCAGCCGGCGGCCACAGCACAGCAGGCGCCGGCTGCACAGCAGGCCGCGCAGCCGGCCGCGCAGGCTCCGCAGCTGACCGCTCAGCAGGAGGCATACCAGCGCGCCTACCAGCAGCAGCTGGCCGCCCAGCAGCAGGCGTACCAGCAGAAACTGGCGTCCCAGCTCGCCACCTCGAAGGAGGCGTCTCAAGCTCAGCAGCAGCTGGGCACGCAGCAGATCAACCAGCTGACAAAGCAGCCGGCAGCTCAGCAGCAGCAGACTCAGACCCAGCAGACTCAGACCCAGCAGACTCAGCCTCAGCAGCCGCAGCAGCAGCAAAACACTTACACCGGCTCTCAAACCGTACAGCAGCAGCAACAGCAGCAGCAGCAATCGCAGGTGCCCTCCCAGTACCAGCAGTACTACTCTCAGCAGCAGTATCAGCAGCCGCAGCAGCAGCAGCAGCAGACTCAACAGCAGGGCACGCAGCAGTATCAGTACCCAACACACAGCAACTTTTACAGCTACTAGAGTGCCGGCGGCTTCCGCCTAGTCTGTCACTGATATGTCCGACCAGGCGATTGTGATTGTGGTTGTATCAAAGTATGTGTGAGGATGTGTGCTTACGCATGCATGTATTTACGTGTATATGCACATGCGATACGCGGATATGAACAGGGCGGCGCCTTTGTGTGTTGTGACGTCATTATTAGCCTTGACGTCACCAGCATTCCAACGCGCCGAACTGGCTGCTGTTGACACTTATTTACGCTGGGACGCTCATAGGCTATTCCCATGGCATTTCGTTGTTTTCAGGTCATATACGTGTGTTTTTCATCAATGTCATTTATGTTGTTAATGTATTTATAAAGATGTGTGGAATAAAATCGCAGTTTTCACGATATCTCACTTTTTTACTTCTTCACAGAAATCGAGACCCATTTGAACAATGACGCTGTTTCGAACAACGACTTCTTGCTCACTATATTTTTGTCATCTTAGCTGATGCCTGTCGGTTCTTTCTCTCCCGCCCTTTCTATTTTCTGTCTCTCCATCGCCAACCTCCTTTCCTCCTTTCTCTTTTGATTGAGTTTTCTTAGTTCACCGTTTCCACGATAGCACAATTTTCATTTGATGTAGCATGCTGTTGATTTATTATCAGCTATACCTAGATCATCTGATTTGTTCAATTAATTGTTTATGAGATATGAGACAGAGATTCGCTGCTCTACGATCCCATTACTACTGGTAGCGTAGGATCATTTAACCGTATCTTTATCAATATAGGCCATGGCCTCACCGCGGAAGCCCTCACACTGAACAGCTTGCCGAGCCGCCGCAGCCAATACACCGATACTTTCAGAGCTCGACCATAACTCTACCTGACATCTATCACTTCTTAGTTGACCTGAGTCAGAGCAAGGTTGATTTGGTGAAGTGTATACGAAGCAGCTCAAAACGATAAAGAATGACGCCTCCTATAGTCCTGGCTGGATCGGTTGTGTGCTTCAGCAAAGTCGGAGAATGTCTTCGGAGAATGTTGTCTTTGTTTCATTTTCCTATCACTTTTTGAAGAAAAAAAAATGGACCGACGAGCATTGGAAATGTCTGAATCCACCCTCGCAGCCTTCGCTGTGCAAAAGCGCAATGAAGGAATTGTGATAAAACCGTGACTTAAAATGGGAATAATGCAAGCAGTGCCGTGACACCAGCCTGGTTGATGCTACGGAGTAGCCAGAGTACGGAGTAGCCAAGGCTGTTCGCTGTTTTGTTGTAAGATATCAGCGGAGACGCATCTGAGCTTCATGGAGAGATAGGTATATGTCGGAACATAGACCTCTGCATACAGACTACAGAGGTCTATGGTCGGAATTTAAATGTTAATGTTTCTCATTGGACGTCTCTCTACACTCAGATGTTTGCTATGCTATGAACACACAATTCAACCAAAGGAGTTGATTCGGACGCGGTATTTCAGGGCGTTCTAGTTAGCTTCTTACACTCAGCCGCAATGTTTTTGATTGATATTATTTCTTGCAGATACCTATCAATTATCATTTAAGTGCAAGCGGGTATCACTCAAACCGGAAAGAGCATTAAAAAGTCATCAAAACTGATTAATTTGGAGTATTTGGTGTTACCTCGTTCTTTATATTTACCCACCATCATGTTGCTATATTTGGCTTTCATTTGAGTAGCATTTGTTATGGCGCATCTGCATTTATTTCCTTTCTTTATTCCAATAATTGCCACAGTACGGTAGCTTGTGCAATGTGCATGATGCGTCGTATGTTCAGCTCAATTGAAAAGCTGCTAAATGTGTGCATGTGGTATGTCTAATATGTAGGGATGGCTCTAAGCGAAATGGCAGAATTTCCCGGTTCTGTTAATCGTTGTCGTCCTTGTGGTCGTACCGGTGCGTCCGACACCTTCCGCTGCTCCATATGGTCCCCTGTCCTTGTTCCAATTAATTAGCGATGCCGTCAATGCGCGAACGAACAACGCATTTTCCACTTCCTGGATTCATTTGATCGTTGAAGTGCTCGAGCGAGGTGGTCAGGCCACCTTGCATGACATCGACTGTGCTTCACGCACATTTGATATAAGGCGAGGCTTGACGTGACGCACACGCACTGCGGACGGGGCAGTCCGAGGAGCGGCACGTTCTGCGAGCTGGGTGTGTGGAGAGCGGCACCATGAGGCTGTGGACGGCGCCGATGGCACTGCTGCTGCTGGTTGTGGTGACGTCCGCAGTACCGACGCTGGCGGCCTCCGTACAGCGCGACGTGCAGTGCTCGGGTGTCGGCTGCGCTCAGTCGGAGGCGCCGGCCGCCTCTGATGCCTCCGAGACCACATCGACTGAGAGTGAGGTTACCTCGCCAGCGCCACTGAGCATGGAGGAAGACAATGAGCCCGACATGGATGCTGATGAAGATGAGGATGAAGATGATGTCGATGACATTGAAGAGGATGCCCTTGGTGAAGATTTGGCTGAAGATACTGATGAAAGCGATGAATCCGAAGTAGCAATGCCTCACCAGGATACCAGCAGTCCTGTGCTACCTCAAGACAGCCAAAGCTCGGGCGAAAGTGCACAGGTAAGCTCATTGGCAGGTGGTGAAGGAACTGGCGCTGCACATGATGCCGCTCATGATGCCGTTCCCAAGACACCCGCTGAAGCTCCCGCTGAGTTGACTGCCGAGCAAGAGCCGATAGTACCTGGATCACCACCCGAAGTGAATGTTCCCAGCGGCCCATTCCTTTATTCACTTGCAAACGCTGCACCACTGATGCAGGCAGATGCGCCCTTCATTGGGCTCCAGCGGGCACGGCCAAGTTTCGTGGCATCGACGCCAGCTGTAGAATCGGCTGCTACAGAAGTCGCTGGGCTGACTACCACCGAGGTACCCCAACTGACCGCTGCCGAAGCCGCCGAACTAGAAGTGACCAGCAGCGCACCGACTGAAGTCGCCGTGGAGTCAGCTCCCGAAGAGAACGAGGAGGCTGATGGTGAAGATGAGGATCCAGATGAGGACTTTGAAGCTGAAGAAGACGAAGAAGCTGAAATTGACAGCGATTCTGAGGAGTCTGAAGTTGTAGATGCTGAGGAGATGAGTACCGAGCATGACCCTTCTGCTGAGGCGTCTACCGAGGCTCCTCAGCCGAAAGACGAAGTGTCTCTACTTTCAGGAGAGATTCGGGCCTTAGATGCGTTAACTAACGCCCTCGGTGAGGTCCGCGATGCCTTTTTGGGACTTAAGGACAGACTGCTCCTTTCCGAAAAATCTTCTGTTGCCGAAAACGATTTAAAAACGAAAAACGATTCGAAAACGGAAAACGATTCGAGCACGAAAAGGAGCTCGGAAGATGATGGAGAAGAAAGCGTACAGGCGATGGAGGTGGTGGATGAAACAGCTAAAAAGGAGCCAACACCCTCTGACATCATGACGACAAAGGAAGTGCAGGCCTTGGACGCGATGACCAATGCTCTGTACGCTGTCAGCGACGCGTTCAAAAGGATCAAAGACCTGGCCACTCGGACTCGGGCGGCCGAGCTCGCTCCGGCCGTCGAAGGCGTTTCTTCAGCTGCATCTACCGCCAGCAGTGAATAGGCAGGCGACGCGTCTGCTGCGGACGCTGATACTGCTGCCGGCGCATCCATGGAGAAAGTTGCAGATGGGGCGGATGGGAATGTCGCTAAGTAGTGCAGACGATGCCGTGTCATGTGTGGAATTTGGTGAAATTTTCCTCGTTGATAGGCTCACCACAACGATGTCCCACTATGTGTGTGATGCCTGTCAAGATTCTTATTTTATTGTACTTTGTTACGTTTTGCGTGCGCTACTTTCTAGTGTTTCATATCATGACCATCTTGCCTCCCAGTTTTGTATTTGTGGTGTATGCGCTTACGGCATCGAAGGTGGTGAATATAAGTTTTGTATGCTTTTCTCGCTTACCATTCTTTCGAGAACACGGTCGATCGTGCTGCCGAATTTTGCACGAAAGTAAAATACATCGCCGATTCGAAGTGATCGAATTTGGTTTTTGTTGGAAAGATGCTTTAAAGTCTTATAATGGTTGTATATTTTTCCTTGTACTTGATATCGAGTCTCCATTTAATTAACGACGCAATAAGATTGATATTCAGCTGGTTCAATGGCATTGATGCTTCAAAAATGGAATGGAACACCAACTTTGTTTTATTTCAAGCGATCGCCTAATCAAGGTCCCAAAATTTGTCTATTTGGGTGGGAAACGACATCCAAATGAAATTCATTTTCCACTCTCACCACCATTTTTAAGAACAATTTTCCACTCCCAAGTCCCAACCAAGAAAACATAGATTTTTTACCTATAGAAAGACAGTTGTGTGGATGCCCAGTTAGCATCAAACATTCTACACCCTAGAATAAAATGCATGCTTTTTGTCATTTCTCACTCCTTTTTGATCTAATCGAATCAGCAGTTTTCCACTCTCTCTCCCCTCTTTTTGGTGGGTAATTTTCCCCTCTGACACCCAAGACAAAACTCAATTTTGGGACACTGATCGCCTTTGAAAGACATTTGTTTTTCTTTCTCAGCCTTTCTAAAGCGCTATTATTTACGTAATTTGGCTGTCATACACGGTATGACCAAAATAGCCCAATGTCTTCGAAAGGTGACCGTTAAAAAAAAAAACGTACTTTGTGTTCAAAGAAATAAATTAAGACAGCGATGGACACACGAAATGTGCCATGTCGCCTATTTCGTCATTGACTAAGACCAAGGCCGAACAACAGGCTTGAGGCGGAAGTGGACGCGGGAGGGACGTGTCTTTTTTCTGTCTCCCTATATAGTATTCATGCCAGGACGAAGAGTCGGCATTCGCGGAAAGGAGCTGGCTGAGATGCGCCAAAAGTACACAACGAACGCCTTCATGTTTAGATCATGTGACAAAGCAGGGAAGGTTCACCCTCGCCCGTACAGGGGGAGGGGGGCCGAACGGACTCCCTCAGTTTTTCGCGAATGACTCGCGTAAAAAGCGGCCGATCGAGACGAAAATTGTAGTACCCTCTAGTTAATCAATTTTACACCTTTCCTGAAAATTTCACGACCCTGACCCAAATGACATTTGGCCTGTGACCTATTTCTCAAGACCATGTTTGGCCAGAATCGCGATTCGGCGTATGTCGGCTCGCATTAACCGCGCGTTTGCAGTCTGTTCGTGGTTTTAAGCGTTCAAACATGTGATATGCTGCTGGTCCCATGCATTAGGGTGGGTGTCAGGGTCACATGAAGGTCAGGTCACGTCATTGACCTTTAATGACCTTTGTTTACTTTTCGAGTTTTGCATGTTTGTAGGCTAGTTTTTTGGAGCTGATTTGGAATTTAGCAACCATTTGAACATTTACGGAGTATATAT